CACGACACAAGGTCTGGGGTTTGAACCACCTGATAAGCACATACAAGACAAAAGTCATTGTTTCCCATCTTCCAAAGATTGCAAGGTTTGGCGGAAGGCTCCAGTTTCAAACTCAGGCTCACAAAGTGAGTTAGAGGGTTCTAGATATTAAAAAAAATGATGTTAATTGCAAAAGGTTGTAGCATTGCTTAACCTGGGATCAAGTATCTTCTCTGTGGAGCTCATTTATGGTGATGTAGGATAAAGGTAATTATTTGTCATACTTTGGGGACTTTATTTGTAATGGTTATAATCTTGTGATTCTTTTACGTGGGCGGGGTAAGTTCGCTAGGTAGTTGTATAGCACATTAGAGCTCTATAAACAGAAATACTTGGGGGCCAGCATAACACAAAGGTGGAGCGATCCTTGTATGGTTGTGATCCCCTGGGACCCAATAGCAATGTTCTTCTATAAAAAGTTTACTCCGTATATCAGATGCCAGTTTCCAGATCAATTAAATTTCCTTTATGTTTATTTTTAGTCAGTTGTCAGTACACTCTAAAATAGCCCAAGAACCAGTCAAAATTTCTTTCTGAACTTTCTGTTGCATCATTTGGCCTTGTTGGATCTTGAACTTCTTGAAGTTTTATTTTTTCTTTACTCTTTTTTGAAGGAGATATCATCAATATAGATACCATCAATACAGTTTTAGCTACTTTTTGGGGCCTATAGTTAGAGAGGAATAACATAATTTTTGAGGATCATGAGGAGGATAGTTTTTGGGATAAAATAAGCTCCATTTTAAATTCGAATTAAAATTGGACTATTGGATAAATGATGATTTTCTCTTCCTTCCATATCTGAGATTGGCGCCACACACAAGGTAAACACCCTAAGGGATGGCCGGCCACAAGAGATAAGGACAGAGGAGAATTTTTGTTCAAAATTTAAAACGGGAGAGATAGATTTGATTCATTCTAGAAGTTGGACTTCTACTCTATAAATAAGGGATGATGAAAAATTGCGCGTGACAATTTTTTTTTTAAACCTAGACTTTAGAGGGCTGGCCGAATTCCCTGTTATAGAAAGAAAGAAAAATTTTTTTTCCCAAAAAAATTCCACATCGTGCATGCGTTAGTGTTTGTGGAAAATTTGAGTGTTTGATCAAACCCGTTTTAGTCTTGAGTGTGCCCACACACACGTCTATGTAGATTCAA